AACGCAAAAAAAAAAAAAAAAACAAAAAAAACATGGCTACAATTAACTCACAAACTCATAAGGGAACACAAAAACTCTGTATCATCGACTTTGCAGAAGTGCTGTGACAATGGTCTGTACAGGAGACCAAACTACAGAGGCTGACAGTGGACAGGCAGGGCATCTGGGAAGGGATACCTTCATTGAGGCTGAAAGCCAAAGGCCAGGAAGAGGGTGTTTCAAGATAGAGGAAGCAACATAAACAATTCCAGAAAGGAGTAAAACAGTATGGATTGTTTTGAGAAATACAAGATATTCAATAATGTTGGAGCATAAAACAAAGGGAAGGGGAATACTCTCATGGGTGGAGAAAAGTGAGATGTGAAAAACAGCCCAGAAGGAACAGCAGAAGATGAATATAGAACAAAAGTAGCAGCTAGATAAAGAAGCAGCTCATCAGACTCGCCGTGCCAAGAAAGCTGACCTTTATCTACAAGCAATAGAGAGCCAGGGACGGGAGGGCTTTAGCAGGAAGTGAAGGGTTCATCAGGGTGGGAAAGTGATCCCTCTAGTAGTACAGCATATGGACTGGGTGTACAGTGAATGAGACCAGGGGCAGTGAGATCCATTAGGAGGTTAATATTAACATTTCGAGCTAAATTCACTAATCTTACTTCAACAGATAGTTAAAACATGATACAAAAGATCCCCTAACCATTTTTATATGTCTACATATGAAATGTTATTTACGAATGTGATAAATAACCAATATGAGGATTGACATTAAATTCAAAAATAATATTGAGATGGTGTTTCAAGTTTTAAAATGCTCAACCAGTCTTCAACCAAACTACATCCCATTTTAGACACTGTCAACCAATATCACAATTTTCTATTTCCACTCTTGATTAAAGGGAAGACTTTCTTTAGTTTATTTTTATTGTAGTAATTTTATTATGTTGTTCTCTGACAAAAGTTTCCACAGGGTACTTCAGAAACAAAACACCAGAACAAATAAAAATAAAACAAATTTTAAAAGGCATAAGAAATCAATTATCATTGATTCAATATCATGTTATGTATGCAACATATAAAGTGAATGAGTAAAAGGTATTAAATAAAGAACTGAAATTACAATATTGATCATGATATATTACCCCAAGGCAGTAGCAAAGAAAAATTTGAGTAATGCCCATTCTAGATCAACCATGGTTGCATTTTCAAAATAAACATATTATTGACAAAAATCTAAATCAAACCCATTAATAAAAGGGTAGGCAATACCCAAAAAAGTAAAAAGAAAATGCTTGATGCAGAGGCTAAAACAAGCATTAAATGAATGTTAAAATACAGTTTAAATTTAGATATCACATTAGCCTTAAAGCACATCTGAATTAATAAAACTGATTTTGAAGCATTCTGGATTATTTTTAAAATTTTCTGTGATTCAACAACAATGATACTCTACAACTATGGGCCTCATTTTAAGATAGCTACTTTACAGTTACACCTATTCCACCTGCTGTTTTGGACATGGTTTATCCCATTTTAGAACAAGCTGGTTCCTGAATATTAACCCTAATACAAAACCTATTCCAGAGTATTATCTTTTCCTTATATCTCTATTGTTCTACAGTTTAAGCTCTAAAACAGCTTTCATGTTATTTTTGTTTTTAACTTAAATATGTAATACAAAAAACCCTTTGGAACTATAATTGCCATCTATAACCTAACCTAAACATTTTCAATACCATGCTAATGCTTCTCTTCCACAGTTAAAAAACCAGCAACAGGGAAACTTTCACTCTGTCAGTACATAAGTTTTACCTAGTTACACCTATAGTAAAGCAACATATTACTTTCCGAGTTATGTGTAGTAGACATAAAACACATAAGTATATAAATTCCATGGGTGTTCTAAATCAGAAAACACATAGAAAACAATTCCTTTCTGTCCCCTTCAGCACCACTACTTTTAACGTCAATCTGGGATATGCAAAACAATGATGATAAATGAATATGCAATCGCACTACGGTCACACAGAGAAGCATGTGTCAGAGTTCTACCTGTGATGACAGGAAAAAAACTACTGATGTGGGGCAAGAGATGTTAATTTAATATCTTTACTAGAGAACCACATTTTGCAAGGAACCAACCTAGCAAGTCACTTGGACAAGCAGAGAAACTCTAAATGCTGAGTCCTTTGCACCTTGGACGAAGAAGTCTGTTCTTACTTTTCATCACTCCTGCTTCTCTCCATTCCCAGAAGGAGTCATTATTTCACTTTAATGCACTGTCAAATGGACAGTGGCTTTCTTTTCAAAAGACCCCATGTTACTCACATTCACAGCCTGCACATTTTGACAGTGTCTACAACATCTTCACACATGCATCTGAATTCTTCCCCTATTCCACTTCTGGAAAACCCTCCACTATAAACTCACTAATATTCATGTTTTAATAGCAATATAAAAAGTAAACACGAATTTACCAATCAGAAGACGTCAAATCTGACAGAATGAAGAGAAATTTACTGACAGGACATAACATGAAATCAGTGTTCAAGAGCCATTCCCACCACCCACACTATTTAAGTGTATTATGACCGTGCACAGCATTCTTAAGAGCAGAATACGAAACTACACTGCCACCAAGAACACTTAACCAGCAGGCAGCCCCTCCACATTAGCTTTAATGTGCCACACAGCCCTTTGCTTACTGATGTAGAGCAGCCAACAGGGAGATGGAGTTTACCAGTAAAAGCGAGACTGAACTGGCTAATTACTTACCTTCTTACGTATAGCAGGCTTTTGCTTGTTTAACTTTTTGCTTCCACTCTTGTCATAGCTCAGCGGCAAATGGTTGTGATTCAGCAGAAGTTCGAACCTGATAATTAAAAAGAATTTTTTAAGAAAAAAATTGGAAATTAAAGTTCCCTCCACTGAAGTCTTTCTTTCCTTGCCCTCTGGCTGTATGTTTCTCGCTCTCGTTTTCTCTCCCTGCAAGGCAGCTACGTAGTGGTCTATAAATATTGACCCTGACACGTGCTCAGTGCTTTACTTGCTCATGGCACAGGTCTGTGTTACTGAACACCGTGGTAATACTCCAGCAAAGTTCTCAGCTGCTCAGACAAAGCTGTGGATTGGCTCACTACCCAGCAACCCTGTGCCTGCCTGGAAATACCATTTTGCTGCCAGTTTTACAGATGCTATGGGCCTTTCCTGAGGCCCAAATCAGGCACAGAAGGGCAATTATGAGGTTTGTCTGAAGAAATAGTTTTCCTCAAGCAGGTGGAGAAAAGGGGGGCTGGGTGGAGTGAAAGACAAGAAAGGAAATACTGCATTTGTTTTGGCCAAACAACATAATTTCTAATCCTTTATAAAAGTCATACCTAAATGCCATTCAATCCAGCTTTATAAAACTGAACTACTACTTACTATGAATAACCAAAAGACGTAGGAAAGCATTTTTGCAATTGTTCTTAATATTGCTTCTCATTGAATAAGGCTGCAGTGACTAACTGGCCACAAAGAAATGTGTCAACATAAATAAATTCATTTCCAGAATGACAGAAGTGCCCAGGAAAGTATAATATTAATCTGATCAAATTAAATATTTGGTGAAAGAAGCTAAAATATAATCTGGAAATTATATGAATCAACATGTTATATGAAATACTTCTAGATTTTCAATCATCACAATTGAATTATTTTATTTTTTAAAAAATTAAGGGGACTTCCCTGGTGGCTCAGTGGTTGAGAATCCAGCTGCCAATTCAGGGAACATGGGTTCGATCCCTGGTCTGGGAAGACCCCACATGCTGCGGAGCAACAAAGCCTGTGCACCACAACTACTGAGCCTGTGCTCTAGAGCCCACGAGCCATAACTACTGAGCCCATGTGCCACAACTACTGAAGCCCGTGTGCCTAGAGCCTGTGCTCCACAACAAGAGAAGCCACCGCAATGAGAAGCCCATGCACCACCCCCACTCATTGCAACTAGAGAAAGCCTGTGCACAGCAAAAAAGACCCAACACAGCCAAAAATAAAATAAAATTTTAAAAAAGATATTATTTAAAAAAAAGTTAAGGATAAAATCTAAGCCATGACTATATAATTTGTAGGTGATATAAACAAGGTCAGCATTATCTACATATAGCACATATAATGTCCACAGTATGAATGATCAGAAAATAAATCAAGCCCATATTTTTTATTCTTCTTGGCAAGAAAAATCATATGTTTACTTAATTGAAATTTCCTCTCTTTTAAATCAAGAGTAAAGGAAACTTAAGAAATAATCTGGTCACTTATTTAACAGATGATAAAACTGACCTCCAGGCCAGTTAATTTACCCACAATCACATGGCAAGTTTGTGGCAGGGCCAAAACTAGACATTCTTGCCTTATTGCTCACAATTCTGTTCCCCTTCTACTACAAGAATGGTTCCTAAACTCATTTTTAGGTTCAAACTCTGATTTTCAGATGAAATCTTACCAAAAACCTTATCAGTAAGGGCAAATATTACACCTAGAGAAATAACCAGCATAAAATTAAAAAAGCCTTTAACAGCTTAATTGACTCCCCCAAAAAGTTATGCATAAGAATTAACTTTCTAACAGTTGAAATCGACTTTTCCTTGTTTGGTTCAATTATCAACATTTTCCCAATAAATTAACTTAATACCAGGAGAGGTATATAGTGAGGTGCTGAGAAGCCCATGAGGAAACACAGTTCCTACGCTCAAGAAAGGGGAAAAAAAAAAAAAGGCTAATGACAAAACAACGTGTTAGTACAGTGATGTTGACTAGGATGGCAGCAAGCGTGCTTGGAACACTAGCTCCTGAGCCAGTCTGAAGTGGGGGAAGTCTTGATTACTCAATCAAGACTTCTGCATCTTAAAGAAATCAAAGATGACACAAACATGGAGAGATATACCATGTTCTTGTATCGGAAGAATCAATATTGTGAAAATGACCATACTACCCAAAGCAATCTACAGATTCAATACAATCCCTACCAAATTACCAATGGCATTTTTCACAGAATTAGAACAAAAAATTTTACAATTTGCATGGAAACACAAAAGACCGCGAGTAGCCAAAGCAATCTTGAGAAAGAAAAACAGAGCTGAAGGAAGCAGGTTCCCTGACTTCAGACTATACTACAAAGCTACAGTCATCAAAACAGTATGGTACTGGCACAAAAAGGAGAAATATAGCTGAATGGAACAGGTAGAAAGTCTAGAGATAAACCCATGCACCTATGGTCACCTAGTCTATGACAAAGGAGGCAAGAATATACAATGGAGAAAAGACAGCCTCTTCAATAAGTGGTGCTGAGTAAACTGGACAGCTACATGTAAAAGAATGAAATTAGAACATTCCCTAACACCATACACAAAAATAATCTCAAAATGGATTAAAGACCTAAATGTAAGGCTGTATACTATAAAACTCTTAGAGGAAAACATAGGCAGAACACTCTTTGACATAAACCACAGCAAGATCTTTTTGGATCCACCTCCTAGAGTAATGAAAATAAAAACAAAAATAAACAAATGGGACCTGATGAAACTGAAAGCTTTTGCACGGAAAAGGAAACCATAAACAAAACAAAAAGACAACCCTCAGAATGGGAGAAAATATTTGCAAATGAAGCGACCAACAGGGGATTAATCTCCAAAATATACGAGCAGCTCATGCAACTCAATATCAAAAAAACAAACAACCCAATCAAAAAATGGGCAGAAGATCTAAATAGACATATCCCCAAAGAAGACATACCGATGGCCAAAAACCACATGAAAAGATGCTCAACATCACTAATTATTAGAGAAATGCAAATTAAAACTACAATGAGGTATCGCCTCACACCGGTCAGAATGGCCATCATCAAAAAATCTACAAACAAATGTTACAGAGGGTGTGGAGAAAAGGAAACCCTCCTACACATCTGGTGGGAATGTAAATTTGTACAGCCACTATGGGGAACAGTAAGGAGGGTCCTTAAAAAACTAAAAATAGAGCTACCATATGATCCAGCAATCCTACTCCTGGGCATATACTCAAGAGAACCATAATTCGAAAAGATACATGCTCCCCAATGGTCACTGCAGCACTTTTTACAGTAGCCAAGACATTGAAGCAACCTACGTGTCCATTGACAGATGAGTGGATAAAGATGTGGTACATATATACTATGGAATATTACTCAGCCATAAAAAAAACAAAATAATGTCATTTGCAGCAACATGGATGGACCTAGAGATTGTCATACTGAGTGAAGTAAGTCAGACAGAGAAAGACAAATATCATATGATATTGCTTATATGTGGAATCTAAAAAAGGGGTACAAATGAACTTATTTACAAAACCAAAATGGAGTCACAGATGTAGAAAACAAACTTATGGTTACCAGGGAGGAAAGAGGGGGAGGGATAAATTGGGAGATTGGGACACACTACTATATATAAAATAGATAACTAATAAGGACATACTGTAGAGCACAGGGAGCTCTACTCAATACTCTGTAATGACCTATACGGGAAAAGAATCTGAGAAACAGTGGATATATGTAGAACAAATTCACTTTGCTGTACACCTGAAACTAACACAACACTGTAAATCAACTATACTCTAATAAAAGTTTTTAAAAAAATGATTAGACAGAAGTGAGGCAAAGATGAGACAGAACAACACAATAAAGACAAACAGGCAGGAAAAAGGATGTTATGGAACTTCCAAGTTCTTTCTTGCTGGAGCACATAATTTGAAGCAGGAAATGTTTAAATTTAAAAAAAAAAAGAAAAAGGTCTAGAAGGAGAAAGGTGATGAATGGTTTTATATACCAGGTTTAAAAACTTGGGTTTTAGGGACTTCCCTGGTGGTCCAGTGGTAAAGAATCTGCCTTACAATGCAGGGGACACAGGTTCAATCCCTGGTTCAGAGAACTAAGGTCCCACATGCCGTGGGGCAGCTAAGCCCGTGTGCCACAAACTACAGAGCCCACGCACCCTGGAGCCTGCGCACCACAACTAGAGAGAAGCCGGCTCACCACAAAGAGTACGCACGCCACAATGAAAGATCCCGCATGCCCCGACGAAGATTCCATGTGCCGCAACTAAGACCCAAGGCAGCCAAAAATAAAATAAATAATAATAAATAAATCTTAAAAAAAAAACTAAAAATAAATAAAAACTTGGGTTTTATACAGTAGGCTAGTAGTCTTCAACTAGTTTTATTCACAGACCCTTAAAAGAATTTTGAAAAAATACATAACCATTCACACATTACCAAGTTAACATCTACAAATTTTCACCTGTGGTAAAATATGTACTTGAAAAGAATTTAATTTCCACCCAGTTGGAAATATTGACATTTTAAAATAAAATTTATATCAACTATCTTAAGAATACTCAATAGAATCTAAATCCATGGTAATAAAACCATTATCCATTTAAAAAATACATGAATAGACTCTTCTTTCAACAGCTGAAAATTTTACATTACTATTTTATTTTCTCGACGTTTATTTCCATTTTATTTCCTCAGAGAATTCTTATGTAATGTATTTTGTAATTAAAAGCCTTTCATTTTTCACTCTATCATACTTCTCCACAACAAAAATATAAGACATTAATCAAAATTGTTTAATTGCTAATTTTTCTATGATCCCAGGACAATGTACTATAGTATGATTTCGGATGGATAAGGGTGTGTCTTCTTTCATAAAGTAAGAGAAAGAATGTTGTGAATAAAGCATTTCTCTTAGGCAGATCAATATTAATAAAGAGAAATTCATGCAGAAGTTGAGAATCTGGACACTGACTCCATTCAAACTATCTGACTGGACTACAGTACCACATACTACCTTTATATCAGTTACTTAAAT